GGGGGGGGGGGGGGGGGGGGGGGGGCACGTGCCCCCCCCCCCAGTTCCTACGCCCCTGGCAAGAGCAAAACTTCCTAAGATGTGGAAGCTCGCTTGCGATACAGTACGTACGGTTTGTATGTATACTCTTTGAAAAACTCACTCATGCATATTTTGCAGTCCAAATTGCTCTCGAAAACATCCTATTACCCATAATTTAATTGGTTGGATCCTTTCAACATATAATCAAGTTTCATGCACATTATCACTTCTCGCTAGCCATGCTTGGCCACAAACTGTATTAGTTGTATTTGTTACATTGACTTTGCATGAGGTTTCGTGGTTCTGAGTTTTCTCACACAAAAAAAAACTCGATTGAATTTAACAATTTATTCTATAATAATAAAATCCCTGTCCCAATTACAATGTGTAGGGAAATCTGAATGTAACTGCATGATGTATACCATTTTTATCAGGCGGGGTAACGCTTGTCCAGTGTGTCGTATTCGGGCAGAGGATAACCGAATAACTCGTGGTCTGTTTTATAAACAGCCAATAGTTGATCAAAATACTTTCTGGAAAGTTCTTTTAGGAAGCCTGCTAATGTTTGTTTTGTTTTGGTTCGCGCACAGCTGTTGCGTATCACGTGATGCTTGGTTTCGTTTGCATGTATCTGTCTCATGGCATGGGTCACATCTCGATCAAGATTGTCGATAGAGCCGATGAAGTCATATTTCACATGACAAGGATGGCATAGGTCTTCATATGGCATCCAATGTTTGTCCAGCGTCCAAGGCGGATTGTCAATCAAATGTCGTACATACTCCGTGAAGCTGACATCAAGTCCAGTTATATTTGTTTCTGTATTATTATAACGATATTTCTTTATTATCTGTTTTACTAGAGGTGACCAATACCCGAGGTTCATTCTTTGCAGTTTATTTCGGTACGCAGACACGAGCCGTTCGAAAGGATCTCGTACAATCACGAACTTGTAGAAATTCTTAAGCATATACTGCCGTTGTTCTTCAGTGAACTTCGGATTACTCAAACGTACTATTTGAAGATCCAGCTTCTCGACTTGAGTAACACTTGGATACAATCCTTCCAAAACCAGGAATATCCTCTTCATGTTGGTACAGCTAACTTTAGGTATATAGCAATAAATAACTTTGTATTTTTCGCTCACAACCAAATGTCGAAGCACGGTGTTTCTTTGCCGTGCCCTTTCTCTGTCTCTTCGATCAGTTAGCGGTTCCAAAACATTTGTTACGTTACGTTTATGGCAAACTTTATTGATCGATTCTCTTCTCCTTTTGCTATCCTTTTCCGCCTGTAAGAAGATACTTTAATGACATTTAAGAAATAGAAAACATTTTCCGTGTTTCTATAGAGTTATAGAAACACTTGTGAAAGTTTGGGAGAAACTCGAAATTGCGTGGGAACACGAGCACGAAGTGCGAGTGTTTCCACGCAATTTCGAGTTTCTCCCAAACTTTCACAAGTGTTTCTATCTATAAACTCTATAGAAACACGGAAAAAATGTTTTCTATTTCCTTTATTAAATAGCCTTTTAAAAACAATAGAAAAGATAAATTTATTGATTTTAATTGCTTTCATTCAAATATTAATTCCATGCACCTTAATATACGTTCGTGTAAAGAATAATTATATAAAAGCATAGCGAAGTAAACAAGTACATCGCTGTCAAAACAACAGACAGCACTTAACAGGCTTACTTTACAAAGTATATAAATATATAATTCACTCAACAACGTACATGCTTGCATGCGAAGAAAGCACTGTTTTAAATAGTTAGTGAACGTTTAAACATGATTAAAAACTATAGTAAACATGATTAAAAACGTCGCGAGGAAATATTTTTTTAAAAAGACAAAGTAAAATTAAAATGTCTTACCTTGGTAAACAGTCAAACAGATACAATATGTTATATGTGCTATAATTATACTTTGTGCTTTAGGTCTTCGCTTTCTAAGTTAGCAAAGTGTTGCCTTTTTTTGTAACGGTTCTTCCGCGTTTCGGGACGTTTTTCAACTTTTTTCAAAATTAAATATTGTTTGTATTTTGTCTTTTAAACTCCCGCGCAATCCACGCAACCCGCGTGAAAATTCCCCGTGTTTCTATCGAGTTTTTATAGAAACACGGGTTATTTTAGCTGTTGACCAATCAGCGCCCGTGTTTTTAAAAGGCTATTTTATACAGCATGTGCTCCACCTTTGAATTTACTATATGAGTAAATTCTTAAACACGTCCGAATTTATCATTATGATAAATTCGCGGCAAATTTTGAATTTATCATAATAATAAATTCGCGGCACCTAACCCCAACCCTAACCACTAACCCCTAACCACTAACCCCTAACCACTAACCCCTAACCCCTAACCACTAACCCCTAACCACTAACCCCTAACCACTAACCCCTAACCACTAACCCCTAACCACTAACCCCTAACCACTAACCCCTAACCCTAATGTTTTTTAAAAATCTAACTTTTTAAACTCTTTTAAAACTTTTTAAAACTTTTTTAAAAACTATTTTTTCTGAAAAACTTGGAAAACTCCTCACCCCTGCGCGACCAGCCTCCCTTTTAGTGCCATTACATTCAGTATAACAAGAAATCTTGTGTAATGCTTGTGGTTTTATGATTAACTCTATTGATAAATTCAAAATGTGCCGCGCGAATTTATCATAATGATAAATTCGGACGTGTTTAAGAATTTATTCATATAGTAAATTCAAAGTGGAGCTCATGTTGATTTTATAATACTGTATATCATAACTGTGTCTGTCCATGCATCATTATCTTGTATTCATATTCCAAATATTCTGTATTCCTATTATATCAAATAGAAACTGACAAATTGTTATGAAGAAAGAAAATTGTTATAAAGGCTGCATCTTTACCTCCACATCCAGGGAACTTTGCGTGGTTGCGTGAGGCACAACCTCCTTTTCATTCGACGTAGTGTGAACGATAGTTTCTTTACCAACTTCTGATTGTGTTGAGTTTGAGTTTTCGGAACTAACTGCTGTGCCATTTTTCGTCTTTGTTGTTTCAACTACACAAGATCGAAGCAGTACAGTTTACTTGGTAATTATTGTAAATTCTCAATTTAGCCCCACTCCCCGAAGCCCCCTTTTTACTTCATGCACATTTGCGGGGCTCCGCTTCGAGACGGACAATTGCTATTTCACGTATATGGTATCACGATATATATACAAATAAATATATATATAAATATATATAAATATATATAAATATATATAAATATATATAGGAATCATCAGGTGGTAGTCAGACTAATTTCGGTAATATAGATTGCTTTTACGCCATCGAAAGAATGCGCGGAATGCGTGTAGGCGAAACGATGCTTAAGCGAAACAATTAATGCTTAGGCGAAACAGTGCTTAGTCGAAACAATGTTTGAGTCATTATATTTTCAATGCTTGAGTCCTTACATTTTTATATTTTATAGGGGGATCAAAACGCTGCAATTTATGTTTGGAAGAAAAATTTTGCATTTTGAAAGACATAAACAAAGACAATTTACTCAATAATAGAAGCGAAATTTTCGGCAAATGTCACAAAAACCGATTTCGAGTAAACAAGGTCGTTAACAAAATGTAATGACTCAAGCATTGTTTCGACTCTGTTTTGCCTAAGCATCAATTGTTTCGCCTAAGCATTGTTTCGCCTACACGCATTCCGCGCATTCTTTCGATAGCATAAAAGCAACCTATATATTTTCGAAATTAGTCACCACCTGATGATTCCTATACGGATGAAACACACTGTTGTGGTTATATATATATATATATATATATATATATATATATATATATATATATATATATATATATATATATATATATATATATATATATA